GTTCTCTGAGGTCCACTTATAATGTTATCAAGATTTTACATAAAAATACATCCTAATTTAGAAGTAATCAGCTATTTTCTATCATGTTTTTGACCCTCTCTTTCGAACGCTCGTTTTGATGGGCGTGCCGCATTCAAGACTTGGAAGTAAACGGCCACTGCTATGATTGGGTAACAGTTTTGTATATTAAAATAATTTTCAAAGTCCCCGCTATTACACGTGTGAAATTGTTTTGAAAACGTCCGATGTTGAAAAATATCTCTTTACATAGTTAAAACATTTGCCAACAATGTGAAACATTTTTTGCGTATTACAAGTCTTGGTTGTAGCAAATAAAGTTTAAGTTCTTGGAGTTGCAACTGTTAATAATTGACAAAGGATGTCTTACGGTGTTTTGTGTAAACAGAATTATAAATGAATGCACCATTGTTTGTCACATTGTCGTTCTTATAGGCTATTCATAGTTCATCCTGTTCGATAAAGTGAAAACCGTATACATTGTCATCTGCAGTGTCGTGTTTTAAATGTTTCAAATGTTTTCTACATGCTTTCTTCCGTATCCGATAATCCAACGGATTAACCCCATAAATGCCGAAGAAAGGGAAAGAACAGCAAATCACAACATTCTCTATTCAGTTTGACTGCGGCGCCACAGTATAAATACTCAGTACATATCAAACGATCTGTAACAGATAAAGCAATAGCGAGACATGGTAAAAACACTGTTACTCACACTTGTGTGTTGCGACATTACTGTCGGATCCAAAGTTGGCAACTGCATCGTCTTGTTTAAAAACGAATCTGCAGAAAAATTTAGCGAACAAACGAACCGTGTCTTACTGGCACCATCTGACTGGAAGTTCGTTTAAAATAAAGTTTTCTTAAAGTTAGGATCACAAGGATGGCAATGCAAAGACGGTTTTTCCACAACTTTGCACTTCAAAATGTCTTGTAATCCTTAGAGGCATCTCTGTCGTTTTGTTGCTGGAGTAATCCTGTGTTTGCATTACATCACGTGTGCGAATCGGTGGCTTAAGAGGCAATGATGTTACAAAACGAGCCGTTGGTTTAAAAAAAAAAGCTGTTTTTGTACTAACGAGGAAGTTTTGAAACGTACAGGAGATTTTTTTATAGTACAATGACATCTTATATGTCAAACGATCAAGAAAAATTTGATTTCTCAATTCATGACCCCTTTAAAAAATGTTTTTGTTGCTTTTTCTCACAGAGGAGGCTAAAGCTAGTGCACCGTGTGTTATATTTATTGACGAGCTGGACAGTGTAGGAGGCAAGAGAATCGAGTCTCCCATGCACCCGTACTCGCGACAGACCATCAACCAACTGCTCGCTGAGATGGACGGGTGAGTCCATGGCTTTTTATTACAGTTCCTCTTTTTGAAAGACGTTATTTAAGACTTATTTGAGTTTTTTAATGATTTTAGGTTTAAATCCAATGAAGGAGTCATTGTGATTGGAGCTACAAACTTTGCTGAAGCTTTAGACAAGTAGGTTTCACTTGACAAAAATCACTTGACATATATTTCTCTAATAGGACACTATTATGATTTCAGTAAAACTGCAATCATTGTGATTAGCCTAAATAGACATCATCTTGGTAATGTGTGTTTCAGTGCTCTGGTGAGACCAGGCCGGTTTGACATGCAGGTCACTGTCCCAATACCGGATGTGAAGGGACGCACTGAAATCCTGCAGTGGTATTTGAAAAAAATTCTAGTGGATTCTGGTAAGAGTTATTAAGAGAAAGCAAATATGTTTTCAAAGATTCTCAATTGGACAATCCGAATAAAATAATCTGTTTTTGTGTGTTTTGTAGCCGTTGATGCAGAGATCATTGCCAGGGGAACAGTAGGTTTCTCTGGAGCCGAACTGGAGAACCTGGTGAACCAGGCGGCGCTGAAAGCAGCAGCCGATGGGAAAAACCTGGTGACCATGAAGGAGCTCGAGTTTGCGAAGGATAAGATCCTGATGGGTGAGGACAGTAGGGCCGTACAGCTTAGTCTCTGCAGCATGTGATGGGGATTAATGCTTTGAACAGAGAGTTTCTTTTCTGACATCCTCTTCTCTGTCTGTCCAGGCCCAGAGCGCAGGAGTGTGGAGATAGACAAGAGAAATAAGATGATCACAGCCTATCATGAGTCAGGACACGCTATAGTTGCTTATTACACCAAAGACGCCATGCCCATCAACAAAGCTACCATCATGCCACGTGGCCCTTCGCTGGGACATGTGAGTAATTAACTCACTGTTCCATCATAACGTTAACGTTATTTTTCTTTTTCTAAATACCCCCCAACATTTTTCAGATTAACATTTTAAAGATTTCTAAATCTGGGTGCATGAGATATTGTCACCATATAGTTTATTAGCCGATAGTATAAATGTTTTTAATTTATCTGTATCAGTCAATATTGAATATTTAATAGTGCATGCTCATTTCAAATATTTTTCCATTGACATTATGGTTGCCATCATCTAACATTCACTTAATAATAATTTAGAAGTACTGTTAAATGTAATCTTTATGGAATCTCTAGTATTCCATTACTGTACATTAATAATGTTGTTATATTAAAGATTTATATAAAAGTTATGTTCTTGAATGTAAAATAATGTTTGTTTTTTATTCATTTGTAATTTATTTAAACTGATTAGTATATCATTTTAATATCAGCCATTTATCAGTAATGAGCAATAACATTATTATCAATGTCGGCCGGAATATTAACACTTTTCCCGCCAGCATTTTTTTTAAGTTGCCAGCCACCGCCAGCGTTTCACAAAAATGTAATTGCTCCCAGAATATTTAGTTGTATGAATATCTATCTGAACATCCAATATATCAAAAGAAAGAACAGAGCCTCTGCTTTAAAAAAAAAAAAAAAAAAATTCTAGCTTCATGCATTCTGCATGCATTCTTGTTGCATGAACATTGTGCCGTTTCTCTGGTCTCTCTCAGGTATCCTTGCTGCCAGAGAACGATCGCTGGAGTGAGACACGGGCCCAGCTGCTGGCTCAGATGGACATCAGCATGGGCGGCAGGGTTGCTGAGGAACTGGTGTTTGGAAATGATTACATCACCACCGGTGAGAAGTGTTCCTAACTGATCCTTGCTACTTTGAATTCTTGGAAATATCAACATCACGGTTTAACTTTATTTGTTTCTTTTGCAGGAGCATCCAGTGATTTTGATGGAGCCACTAAAATAGCACAGATGATGGTGACACGGTTTGGAATGAGTGACAAGGTGAAAAACTCATTATGTGACTTAAAAATGCTTTTTTCTCCTTTCTTTTCCGGTCTTACAGTATGTAGTTAGTAATGATTTCATAATTTAGGCCAGAATTTCCCAAACCTGGGTTTGTGAGTTGATGAAAACCGAATAAATGTCAAATATTTTTTTTCAAATAAAATGTAATGTATTAATTTTAAAACCAAAGCCAAAATAACAATCAAAATAAAACACTCACTAAAAGATGAAATATTTTAGCCATTCATGTACTTTGACAAATCCAAGTTTTATTATTTTTTTTTTAAAAATGTAATTTGTTTTATCATTTATTAGGCTGAAATGTGAACTTATCATTTTATAAAACTTTTAAATTTGGACAAAGCTGTGTAGTTTTTATGGTCATTTTACAGTTTAGGGTGTTATCGCAGACATTGTTGTTTCCAACTTGCAACCTAAACAACATGTATTTCTATTTCTACTGATGATTCCAGGAAGAAAAATAATTCAAGAAAAATGTAACTCCCCATCTACATCAGATCACATTTTAAGTGAAAATAAGTATAATATTCAATAAGAAAGGAAGCAAATAGCTGCTTGGAGAAGCCATTTGAGTCCTTCCACGTGTTCAAAAGCCATTAGTGTTGTGTGAGCGCTCACATTCCAGACTTAAATCTGTTTCATACTAATCCCTTCTCCAGCACTCAGTTCATACTCTATTTCTAGAAATAAGCAGCGCACATGCAGGGTCTAAACTTCACACACATTCACCCATCTCTAACGTCAGGATCCTGTTGTAATCAGAAACTAGTGTGAAGCCTTTGTTGAATTACTGTTGTGCCTGTAACTGCAGTTCACTCACCTCTCTTTGCTTTGACCAGCTGGGGGTCATGACCTACAATGATCTGACAAAGCATAGCCCAGAGACCCGGGCTGCTGTAGAACAGGAAATCAGGGTGCTGTTGCAGGTAGGTCTTTAGTTTTTGTTTGTCTGTGATATTTGATCCGATGATTGTGGAAATTCACCTCCCTAATTTTCTTTTTCAGAGCTCTTATGAAAGGACAAAGAAGCTACTTAAGACATACAGCAAAGAACACAAGCTGCTGGCCGATGCCCTGCTGACTTATGAGACTCTGGATGCAAAGGAAATTCAGATGATCCTGGAGGGAAAGTCACTGGAACCCAGATGATTAATTATTGGATTAACAGAGACATTTCAAGCTACAATCTTACAACCTTACCTGTAAATATAGACATCGATAATAAGCGAGACTTTCTAGCCTTCTCTCTTAATATTTTTCATTTTTCAGGCAACACGTTGGCTTTCAAACAGACACTACGCAAATAGAAATCCAGACGTTCTATTAAGTTGAGACGGTATATTGATGCCTAAAGTACATATGCCTAAGCAGCGAACCAATGAAAATGGCTACTAATTAATTAAACTGTAAATGTTTTGATTTGTTTTTTAGAAGCTAAGTATATAGCAGGGTAAAGGATGATGTTAATAACCTGCTTTATTCATCCTATTCTTTGTTGCCCAGTCATCAAATTTAAGCCCTTGTTATTTTAAGAAATAGAGAAAAACGGAAAGCAAAGAAACTTTTAACTTATAAATGGTGCATTATTTTGCTTGAAATCAAATGCCAGTGGGCTGCTGCTCATGATGTCTCATTTTCAGTAATCACAGTAGTACAGATTGTTCAGTTATGAATGTGACTTCAGAATGTCAGTATGCTTTCCTGCTGCTATCCTCTGTCACATTTGGGTTGCCTGCATGTGTGTGTTTAAACAGCTCAGGTGACTGCACTGTATATATGTTTGTGTTTGAAAACTTATTAGTGTGCTTGATTTTGAAATTAATACCATGTTTATTTCCATTTCTTTCAATCTTAAATGAACATGGATGTGACTATAAATTATATACATAAATAAAGGCTATTACCTTGTCATTTTCTGAGAGTGAGAACATAAAGCTGGGATTTTGAATGAGTTTGAAATGAAGGCTAAAAATGAATTAGGTTTAAGGTCTTGGATCCTTTTCAAAGGTCCAAAATAAAAGACATGCAAGTAAACCATTCAGTCTGATAATCGCAGGTATCAGGTTAGGTGTGCTGAGATAGTCATTGGTTATCTTATTTCAAATTGTGGTCTACACACATTTAGGTCCTGCCTTCTCATCATTCGCTATATGTTTCTTCATGGAAGCCAATTAAAGCCAATCATGAATTAGAGTTTCACTCCAGTAGCTTTGAGACAATAGCTTTGTTGTTTCCAGTGAGGGGAAACTGCAATCAGTGTTTTACAACTCTACCCAAGTCTGTAATTACAGAGTTTTGTTACAAGAGGAAGGACTGCACATTTAAAGACCCTTTGTTGAAAGAAATTTGTTTTCCTATTGGTTTTCAGCTGTGGAAGGCTTTATAAAAATGCCTAGACGTTGTAGGAGACTGATGAATACTGGTCAAAACCATGATGAGATCAGCTGAGCTGAGCTCAGAGATTCTTAAGGTTTTTTTTCTGTAGAGACTGCAACATAAAATGATCTTTTGAGAGAAAAAAAAGAGAAAACCGGCTAAATGGACCAGGATATTGCGATCATTGGAATTGGATGCAACTTCCCAGGAGGTAAATATATTGTTTATGAACTCTTATACCGTTTGTGACAATGCTGTGTGCATTTGTATGAGTTCTCTGCTACCTTCACAGGTGAGGGTGTTGATAATTTCTGGAAAGTTCTTGTGGAGGGCAGGAACTGTGTGGTACAGATTCAAGATGAAAGATTTGATACATCAGAGTGGTTTCATCCTGATGAGAGTAAACCAGGAAAAACACAGACGACCAAAGCTGCTCTCATTGAAGGGTAGGAATAATCAGTTCATGATGATACATTTGAGGTTTATAGTTACTAAAAAATGAAATGATAAAGTAATAAAATGTGTCTTATTTTAGATTCAATGAGTTTGATCACAAGTTCTTTGGCATCAGTGATGCTGAAGCTGATTTCATGGACCCTCAGCAGAAACTGTTGCTGCAGTGTGCATATCGAGCTCTAGAGGATGCTGGGATACCCATGGAAAAAGTGAGCGGAACCCAAACAGGAGTTTACATAGGTAATACAATACATCTAATAAAAGTAGTTGACATTTTTAACTTTTGGGTGTTTTTAGGATATTGAAACCATATATTGTGTTTGATTTCAGGTCTTATGAACAGGGACTATGAAACACTTTTAAACAACAGTCCAAGCACAATAACTCACTATAATGGCACAGGAACAGCTATGAGTATAGCTGCCAACAGAATTTCCTATATTTTTAACCTGACTGGACCATCTTTTGCCATTGACAGTGCATGTTCTTCATCCCTAGTCGCCCTTCACTCTGCGTGTCAGGCCATCAGACAAGGTAATGATACTATTTCAATGCTAAAGTCTGTTCATTGCTTGATATTTACATGGTTAATCATCCTTGTTTACTTTATCTCTAGGGGACTGTGAAATGGCTCTGTGTGGAGGGGTCAGCTGCATACTTGAGCCTCGAGTCTTTGTGGCCCTCAGCAAGGCAAAGATGATCTCACCTGAGGGCACAAGCAAACCATTCTGCCGTACTGCAGATGGCTATGGCAGAGGGGAGGGGTGTGGTATAGTCTTACTGAAGCCTTTGAAAAAGGTAGATATTTTACATTGTTAAAAAGAACATTCAGTTATGGTTTATAAAAAATGTAAATGTAATAAATTCAGTTAATTATTTGTGGAAGTAAGCTGGTGATTCTCTTTTTAGGCTCTTGAGGACTTTGATCATATTTGGGGCATTGTGAACAAGACTGCAGTAAACCAAGATGGCCACACCGTCACACCAATCACCAAACCTTCCATGCCCCAACAGGAGGCTCTTCTTCACATGATCTACTCCTCCGAGAATTATTTAGTAAATGTCCAGTATGTAGAAGCTCATGGGACTGGAACACCAGTAGGAGATCCAGTTGAGGCAGGAAGTATCTCAAAAATCATCGCCAAAGAAAGACCTTCAAGCTCAGGGCCTCTGTTTATTGGCTCTGTTAAGAGTAACATTGGACATACAGAATCTGCAGCAGGTGTGGCAGGACTCATAAAGATTCTCTTAATGATGAAGCACGAAATCATTGTCCCCTCTGTGTTCTACTCAGCACAAAATTCCAGCATAGATGCTAAAGCTCTCAATCTTAAAATCCCCACTAGAGCTGAGAAATGGCTGTACTCTGGATCCAGGAAAAGGATGGCTGGATTAAACAGCTTTGGGTTTGGTGGCACCAATGCCCATGCTTTAATCAGCGAGTATGTTTATGCTACAGCCCCCGACAGGCACAATCTTGAACCTCTAAAACTGCTTCCACTGTCTGCAGCCACGGATCAGTCTCTTCAGTTGTGCATAGCTGACACGTATCAGAGGATTTTGGTAGATGAAACAGTTGATCTACAAGCTCTTGCTTATACAGCTGCCTGCAGAAGAAGCCACATGAAACACAAATTTAGGAAAGTCTTCACTGCATCATCTCTATCAGAGTTAAAATCACTACTCGAAGCTAGTATGAACAAGAAATTAGCCCCAATAAAGCAGGACCTAAAGTTAGTTTTTGTATTTTGTGGAAATGGCGTTACTTACAGGGGAATGTGTAAGCAGCTACTGAAAGAAGAACCAGTTTTTAGGGAAAAGGTCAAAGAGGTGGAAAACTATTTCCAGAAGTTCAGATGCACCAGTATTTTGCAAAAGATCACAAGCAGCTATGACAATGAAGATTTCTCAAAACCAAATGTTGTCCAGCCACTTCTTTTTGCAATTCAGGTTGCAATTGTTCACCTTTTGAAGCACTGGGGCATCAGACCAGATATTGTTCTTGGACACTCAGTTGGAGAGGTTGCTGCAGCTCATTGCTCTGGTCTGCTGTCTCTTGAGGATGCAGTAAAGGTTGTCTACCATCGCAGCAATCTACAGACCAAAGTGACGGGTGGGAGGATGCTGGTCATTGGTAACATTGCTGTCCCAAATATTCTGGAAATCCTCCCTGCATACACAGGAAAGATCTGTGTAGCTGCTGTGAACAGTCCTATGTCATGTGTGCTGTCAGGTGATAAAGAAGCTATTGATATTGTGCACCAAAAGCTTCAGTCTTTTAAGAGCAAGAACCTGTTCCTTCATGTCTTAGATGTTCCTGCTGCCTACCATAGTCATATGATGGATCCTATACTGGGCCAAATCAAAGACAGCATTGGACATTTAACTCCAAATGAAATGGAGTGTGAACTGTTTTCCACCGTGACAGGAGAGATGTGTAATCATGGGGACTTTGTAACAGGTGAATATTGGGCAAGAAACATCCGAAAACCTGTTGCCTTTGAACAAGCAATTAAATTAGTTTCCAACCACACAAGGAACACAGTCTTTGTGGAAATTGGTCCAAGACGGGCTCTGCAGAGGAACATCATGGAGATCCTGGGAAATGACACCACAGTGCTAACTTCAGTGCATCCAGATAAAGACCACGAGACCATGTTCACCACTGTATCAAAACTGTTTGAGCTGGGGGTCAATGTGAAGTGGGACGAGTTCTACAAAGGGTTTGAAACAAAGCTTATTGCTTTCCCAAAGTATCAATTTGAATGGAAAAAAAATGAGGTATACTTTGAGGACGTAAGACGGGGAAATGACACAATCTCTCGCAGTCCACATCCACTGATAAGTCCAAGTAAACGTGATGGCAAAGTGATCAAGTGCAACCTGTCAACAGGTTCTACCTCCTTCCTTTGGGAACACAAGAACAATGGCATCTCAATTGCCCCAGGGGCATTGTATGTTGAATTGGCTTTTGCATCTGTAATGGAAACCGCAATTCCAAAGAGGCCTCTTAATTCATTTCAGCTCACAATCAACTTTCAAAGTTTGTTTGTTTTTACTAAAAACTGCCCTCCTCTGAAAATCACAGTTGACACATCAAAGGACGCAACCACATTTCAGGTTCAGTCCTCTAGTACTGTGCATGCATCAGGCACCATTAGCCATGAAGGGGGACCCGCTATGATAGAACAGCAAACCATTCACCTCAATGCTGTTTTGGAGAGATGTCCATCAGTCATTGAAGCAAAGGATGTGTACAGCACTCTTAATGATGTAGGGTTTGAGTACGGGCCCAACTTCAAACAACTTGGTGACATTCATTACGGACAAGACTTCATGGAAGCAGTGACCAGTGTCAGGATTCCAGAGGGAGTACTCAATCATCTATATGAGTATTGCTTGCACCCAGTGGTGCTAGATTACTTCTTGCAAATGTCCTCAGTTTTAGCAGTAGTCTCTAGCACCATCAGGCCTGGATTTCCCTCTGCAATTGGTAGTATGGTTATATCTGCACCTCCCCGTGAAAAGATGTTCATGTATATGAGACTGACCAAAGAAATGCCAGACTACTTTGAGGTTTGTGGTTGTTTCACTGACAAAGATGGACATGTGTTGATTGAGCTAAGAAATGTCAGAATTAATTTTCTGGGAAGACATGCACAGATTAGGGAATCATGTTTCTTTTATAACCAGAAGGTTGACATTCATGCTGAAAGCAGTTTCCCCAGTAGAATCAAGGCTTTGGTCTTTGAGGACACCTTGGGCATCGCTAAAGGTTTGGAGCCATATTTGCACCCAAAATCTGTATTTGTTCCTCCATCCAATTTAACAAAAAACTCAGCCTTACAGGTCCAAGAATTACTGTTGAGGTCTTCATGCAGTGCAGCAGACATGGAACTGGATGAGATCCTGTTTATCTGGGGTGCTCAGAATATTAGTCACCTCAAATCTGAAGCCATTCTAGAGTCCTTGGTAGACAGCTGTGAACTTTATCGTCAGGTTGTTTTGTCTTTAAGAAGCTGCAGTCCTGTTCGTTCCATCCGTGTCATTACGTACAAGTCAGCAGAAGGAACAGTTGAAAGTATAAGTTCTGGATTTGTGTTATCTGGCATGACAAGGGCATGTGCTGCAGAGTTGTCAGGCACTTCTTTCCAGCTCATTGACCTTTCCACAGTGTCAACAGAGGATATAGAAGCACTGGCTCATGTGCTTAACTCATACAAAGCCCAAGAGTGTCCAGAAGTCTTCATCAGCAAAGGGAAAGTTTACTCTGCTGTAATAACTCATACTCCTGTCACCACAGACACCACGAAGACTTCCCTACAGTCCCAGGACTTCACTTTGCAGACAACCAGTCCCTACAGGATGACCGGCTTATCAGCTTTTCCTTCAGCGAGTTCAGTCCACACCATTGAAAGTAAAAATATTGAGGTTCAGCTGAGTAAGGTATGTGTGCACTCTTCCGATTATTTTCCAGTTAGTACTTCAGACTTAAACTTTGGTCAGACGATGTATTGGAACAAGCACACAACACAGAACCATGGTCTTCTGGCACTTGACTTCAGCGGGATCATTACAGCTGTGGGAAAGGATGTCAGCAAACTTAAAGTGGGAGACCATGTTGTCTGTTGTTATCCTGTAAAAGCAACTTCCAAAGTTATCCTCCCAGAAGATGTGTGTTTCAAAATGAAAAGGCTTCCATTCCTAAAGGATGCACCATGTGTTTCATACTTTGTCCTTATCTGGGAGATATTGCAGTGTGTGCTACCCAAATCCAAACAACAGCAAAGTTTGGGAATCTTCTCTACTGATCGTGACTCAGCCCTGATCAAGTTATTGACACTCATAGCAAGGAAATCAGGCTGGAGAGTTTTTACAGAGACTGAAGTAAGTGGATTAGTCCAAAATACAAAGCAGTGTCTTCTTTTTGTGATTCTTCCTCCATATGATTCCGTGCTTCTGACAGACATTGTAAGAGTTGTCAATGCAAATCACATCATTGCAGTATGTGGCATCCGTGAGCCATGCTACTCTACAGTAAATGGAATTCAGAGGGTTAGTGAGAGAACTTGCTTCCAAACACTTGAGATGTCCAAAATCTTCCAGAAATCAGGTCTTAAGGCACACGGAGCTCTTCTACAGAAATGGCTAAAGGGAATGCACTTACACAAAGCATGGCCATCAATACAAAGTAGTGCTTTTCAGATGGCTTCCCCTCAAGGTATTCCTCCTCAGTCGTTTGAACAGTCTGGGTCTTATTTCAGTGCAAGCACTCTGGACGTGATAGCTCTGGCCAGTGATGATACTAGGAGCAAGATGTCTGCCATCCCTTTGCTTCCAAGAACAAAGCAGCTGTTCTTAAAGAAAGGTGTGTACATAGTTACAGGTGGTCTCTCTGGTTTGGGATTTGAAACTGTTAAGTTTATTGCCCACAGGGGTGGGGGATGCATTGCCACTCTCTCAAGGAGTGCACCATCTGAGAAGGTACAAGAGGAAATGAGCAGTCTCCAGAAGAGATACGGGGTAAGAATTCTCACTCTTCAGTGTGATGTCTCTGTGTCAGAAGAGGTGATGGAAGCCATTACTGTGATTGAAAAACATTTTTTCCTATGTCCAATCAGAGGTGTGTTTCACAGTGCTGCTGTGCTACATGATGGATTACTGGAAACCCTTGACAGATCTCTTTTTCAAAAAGTCCTGCAACCTAAAGTCTGTGGTGCTCTTAATCTTCACCTTGCCACTCTGCACAGCCAGACACTTGATTACTTTGTGTGCTATTCCTCGATCTCCTCATTCATTGGAAATGCTGCACAAGCAAACTACGCAGCAGCTAATTCTTTTCTGGACACGTTTTGTCACTACCGACACAATATTGGACTTGCAGGCCAGTCAATCAATTGGGGACCCCTTAAACTGGGCCTGCTAATGAACAAAGACGATTTTCAAAAGTTCCTGGAAACAAAAGGGCTGATGATCATGGATGTGACCGAGATCCACGAAGCACTAGAGCACTGTCTGTTAAATAACAATCCCCAGCAGGTGGTCTGCAAATTCAATTTCAGGAACCTGAAGAACCATGTCTTTTCTCAGAATGTGTCTCTGAAGTTTCGCCTGTCTGCTTTAGTGGAGGAAGAACTGAAAAACACCACAGTTGTTGAGTACTCCAGGATAAATGTTCAGTCATCAGTGGATGACTGTGTTAAAGGGATTATGACTGAAATATGCAGTGTTGATACTGATGATCTTAATGATGAAACTGCGCTCACTGCACTAGGAATTGACTCAATGCTGGCCATGACATTGCAAAATCGCTTGTTTCAAGAGATAGGTGTGAATATTCCTCTTGTTGCTTTGCTTGATCCAAGCAATACACTATCCTCATTGGCTGAATTGATAAAACAGAGTTCAGATGAGGACTGTGAGATTTCTGTGCACCTGTAATGCAAAGTTATGTATTTTGTCCATAAGATTGAAATGCATAAAAATGAAATATGCTTATTTTTTTGTGCTCATGTTTTGTTTAGCTAAACCTCTTTAGAAAATGTTGGATTACTTAATTGTTGCAATCGTAACCACAATATTGTTATGTGTGACAAATATTGGATGTCAAACATTAAAATCTTGATTTCAAACATCAATTTTGGTTATTTTATACCTTCCCAGACCAAATCAGAGATCAAAGGTCAGGCATGCCTCATCATTTTACTGCCAAATGCATAAATCCACTGATGTTTTTATGCAAGCATATTAAGCTATGTGCAGAATTAGGCTCATGAAACACTGTAAACATTGAGTGAACTAAACAATAGTTTTTAATAGAAATTTATAGTCTCCCTAAAATGATAATCCTCAACCATTCATAAATATTAAAAATACTAAACAAAACTGATGTAAAAGATGAAAATATTCACAGTTCTTATTATAATCCTTACGCAGGCAATCCTCTTTTCTCAAAGAAAGCACAACAGCGCGTGCAGTACTGAAGCAAAGGGAAAGTCTATATTTTAACAGTGAAAATATAAAAGGCAGGAATCATTTTGTGGCTGTTCAAATAAGCCAATAAAAATAGTTAAAATCTGTGTATTTAGTTATGTCTTTAATGAGCTTTTACACATTGAACAATCCATAAGAAAACATTGTATACCTCTCATAAATACAGAGCAAAATATGGTTACATTTGTGCATTCAATTAGTTTATTTCACAAAAATTAAGAAAAACTACAAAATTTTACTTTTTATATATAACTAAATAGAAATATTTGTATATACTGCAAAAATAAGACATTTAAATATTTTCTGAGAGATTGGGGCTCGTTCATGCAACAATACATTTCTGTTTAAATCCATTTAAACCCATTTTTACGTAAATTGTTGCATTCAATTGAATTTTACAATTTATTAAGGTTTTATGAACGAATTACACAAATTTGTTATCCTTGTGTTTCATAAGCAAGTCTAGTTGTTGTTTCATTTAGTTGTACATTGCTTACATCTGTGATGCATTTTGTAAACATATTTTTAAAAGGTTTTTTTTGGCTTTTTAAAAGATTTTTTTTTACAGATTAATCGGGGCCACTAATTCCTGAAACCCCTAAAAAGTCCAAAAACCATTGGCCCAGGTATATTTTTGTAGAAAACATGCCATGTTGTTGATTTATATTACATTAGTAAAATGAAATGACAAATGAGTAATTTTAAACATATAAATGTAGTACACATACAAACGATATATTCAGAAGAAAATGAAGTATGAGGATTTTACAAAATGGCCAAATCAGAACAGTTAAGAGTGGGAACTTTTGAATCTTGAATGTGGTTGCTATTTCCTAAAACACAATTCTGACCTTCAGAGTTTTGACCTTTTGGTTGACAGTTGACTCTTAACATGGTATCATCAGAGGGTGTATACATGTGAACCTCATAGGTCTGACTGTCCACTCTGAACATTGGGATGGTGCTTGCCACACACATGTGATTTTCTTGGACATGATGATTATTGCCGGTTATCATCCATATGGCAGAGCACGGCTGAGACTGACACGTTCGGTGGTTGTCGGGTTGAAAATTGCGATTGTCGTAAATTTCCCGCTCTTTCACCTCACCATCCCTGGCCATTGCTTGAACATTATTCGCGTGGCTGTTCTTCATGGCCTGCTCTTCTGGGCCTGATTTCTTGTTAGCTGGTGTGCCACTACACATGTCAAAAAAGGTCAGAAAAACTGGGATAAAAGTTAAGCCATGGAACACACCAAAGAATATTACCAAGAACATAATTTTAAAGAAAGTTCTAAAGATGTAGTTCTTCGAAGCAGACAACACTACCACCCCAAGAATAGTAGACACAGCCCCCTGCAAAATAGGGTAACCTAAATGAAACAAGGCCTCCACTGCCTTTTCATTCGCACTGGGCTTTTTGTTGGAGACAAAGGCGTAAGATATATGAGCAGAGAAGTCTACAGAAAAACCAATGCAGACAACAAGAATGATCATGGAGATGGTGTCTAAATTAACATCCCATAATGCCATGAAACCAGTGACCCCCACAATGACCGATGCGATAGAAAAAGTCACCCAGAGAGAGCACAGAGGGTTTGGGATGAGGAGAAGGGAGATGAGCAACATTACGGCCGTCGTAACCGCAATATTCTGGATGGTGTTGGTGACTATTACTGCATACTGGTCATGGTAGATGAAGGCAGGGTGGTAAACCAGTAAAGGAACAGGGCACTTTTGTGCTGTCTCTCTTAATTTATTCAACATATTCATCTCATCCAGGGCAGTAGAGATATTTACGGTCTGGATGAAAAAGCGAGACGCGTGAATGGAGTTGTTGGTGAAATTGACGTCCTGTTTGAAATCGGAATAAAATCGCAGAAATGATCCCAAATTATCTTTGAAGACATCTTCAGCACTCAGATTGAGTTTTGAGTGATATCCATAGTACTTGTATGATTTGATCCAGGAGGTGAATATATCCTTTTCAATGAAAGATAAATTTTTGAAATCTTCAATGCAAGTTTCAAGATCTGACATGTACTTTTCATCCCAGTACGGAAATTCCCGTCGGATGACAACCATGATGTTTGGGCCATATTCGGAGAAATATGCCTTCTCGTTGTCGTAGTATTTTACCACATAAGAATCATCAGCTGCCAAATTACGAAGATCGATTCCTTCTTGAATTTGGAAGCAGCCATAAATGCTGATAATCAAATAGATGCAATAAAGCACAATCACAAAGACCTTTGTCCACGATTTTGTCAGAAAAGGGCCGTAGTATTTTTTAAAGAAGTGATTCATGGGCTGTACCTCCTCCTTGCCAGTATGAGGGTCGTAAGCGCCTCCCACGCAACATAATTCATACCACTTCGACTGACCTATAGGGCACTCCTCCGGTACTTCCTTGCAGGTCAGCCAGTGCTTGTTGCTGTTCTCTCGCCGTCCGTTAAGAACGAGGAACGCTCCGAAAAATGTGATGCTGTAGATGTAGCAGAAGAGGATGGAGGTGCTGGTGTACAAGCAGAAGGAGCGGACGGACCGGAAGGGCGTCATGAGGCCGATGTAGAAAGCGAGCACGTCCGTGAGCGTTGTGATGGTGATTGAAATGGCCGCCTCTTTGTACGTTTTAGACAGTCGAGTCTCTACTTGATCGTGAACATTCGTCTGCTGCCAGCAGGAAATGAGGATGAACATGTCGTCCACTCCGATCCCTATTTAAAACACATCAGAAAATCCCCGTTTAATCTGATATTATACATTAAAGGGATAGGATAGTTTACCCCAAAAATTAAATTCTGTCATTAATTACTCACCCTCATGTTGTTCCAAACCTGTCAGACTTTCGTTCATCTTCGGAACACAAATGAAGATCTTTTTGACGAAATCTGAGAGCTTTCTGTCCCGCCATTGACAGCTACGCAACTACCACTTTGACGCTTCAAAAATGTCATATAGAAATCATAAAACTAATCCATATGAATTGTTCCAAATTTTCTGAAGAGACTCAATCGCTTTATGATGAACAGATTGAATTTAGGCTTTTATTCACATACAAACATTTATCAACTCACACATCAGTTGTGGAAACGGAAGTTCAAGCATGTTCGCTTGATGTGCGAGAACCAATGAGGTTCATTCTCATGTTACGCAGCACGTTTGAGCTTCAGCAAGAACCAATGAGGTTTGTTCTTGTGCGTCAAGCAGGTTCGGTTGAGCTTTTTTTTATGTTCACTGATTAATATTTAAATGTGAATAAAAGCCTAAATTAATAAAGCGATTGTGTCTCTTCCGAAAATTTGGACTAAACAGCTCGATTCATATGGATCTCTTTATGAACATTTTAAAGTGTCAAAATGGTAGTTGCGTAGCTGTCAATGGAGGGACAGAAGCTCTCATATTTTATTAAAATGTCTGAATTTGAGTTCCGAAAATGAACGAAAGTCTTACATGTTTGGAACGACATGAGGATTTCATGATAGAATTTAATTTTTGGGTGAACTAATCCTTTAACATAGTACAGCACTGGTTTTACGAAGTTATTACCTAATATTAGGAATGGAGAATTAGCAACTGTCATGACAAATGGGACACCAATGTGCAACATCATCCCAAAAGCCGACAGAACAGCCAGTCCAGCGGAGAGCACCCCAAATGTGGCAACCCATACTTTATTTCTGACACAGTCAAACCTGGAAAACAGACAAAATATATTTCAATATATTTTAAAGAATTTTTCATGGTTAAATACAACATACGAATCTTAGAACTAATCTTATTTTGAATCATTTTTCATACAAGATTCCTTCATTCATTTTGAATACAGTAGGGATTCTAGAGTTAAACAAATCAGGTGTGCATTAAAATTAGCCTAACTAGACTGGTCATCAAAAAATAGCCTAACTATTCAGGTTAACATAGCCTACCTCAAACAAGAAAGAATTGAGAATGCAATGGCAATGACGTATGTGATAGAGAAGAGGGGAATCACATCCCTTGTGTTTGCCTCAAATTCCACCTGCCTTGACAGAGATGTGGAATGGGTCACCTGAGGAAAATTATCATACTAACATACATTACCATTATACTGACATCATCATTTCAGATTTAAAGAATAGTTACATCAGGAGAGCATTTTAACAAACTTAAAAGCATTTTATTCATTCATTCATTCTTTGAAATAATGAATGAATGAATAAAAGGATTTTAAACAACATGCTGTCAGCAATACTGACAATACCATCAATAAAGTTCTCAAACAGTAATCAAATATGACCTACCTTAATTAAGCTTAGTGATAAATTAGATGGAAAAACCTTAAGGAATTCGTTCAGCCATAAGTCTGTTCTGGTACGATTATCCTCCTTTAGGAAATATAACAGGCGCACTGACTTTGCACTTTTAATAACAGTAGAGTTTATATTCACTCCACCAACAGAATAGCCCAGGAAAATGTACGAGAATCCGAAACGAAAGAACGGGAAGGTGAGCTCGGTCTTTTCTAAATTGTTACCATAATATGTGTAAATATCCAGTATCTTGTTAGGTATGCATTTCTTGTACCGTCTTGCGCAAAGTCCCTCAAAAGTGAGCACCTCGTGACCCATAGCCACATTCAGCTCCTTGACCTTCCTGTCTAAAGTGACTATCTCCTGAAAGGCAACATCTGTGAGGATGTTGGAGGATCTTGATACCGCTATGAAGGACGCGTAAACTCCATCCGTGTAGAGTCTTTGGTTGGAGAACACCGAGTCGTTCTGCGGAAAGTTTTCCTGCACAAACTGCCTCTCCAGCTTGGCAGGACCGTTCACAGGTGTGAACTGGTCCTCAATATCATTGGCCTCCCGTTCTTCTAAGAAATAAAACCCACTCCCCAGCACAGCAGAGATCACCAGAGGAGAGATGAAGAACCACCACGGGTAAGTTCCCACAAAGCGGCCGAACTTCTGGAAGCAGATGGAGATCGGCTTCTCCACGCAGTCTGTGGTGCATCCAGCCATGTTCACCGGCATTTTGAGGGATTAAAGGGAAAAAGTTAAGGGGGAGCTAAATGGATTAAATTAACATAAAGCGTTTCTCTATATCACTGTTGTGGTTGAAGCATGGAAAGTTATAACTAGTTAAAAGTTGATTTAGAAAGAGCATAATGCATGCGGAGTATTTGAATATCCTGACGCATTTTTGCGTGAAAATATACAGAGAATAAGCCGAGAGCGACCACTGACGGGCACATGCAGAAAATTAGACACTGATAAAATAACCACAGACGCAAATCACGCAGTGTTCCTGTTTTTATGGGAGCCTGCTTTAATTAAGCTTGCATGAGTTATTAAATAATGCATTATAAAATAAGCTATTTAGCATTATTAAATCGTTTTGAATGTTGCAGCATTATTAGCTATACATAAAAAGGCAGGGCACCATTAGTAGGCCTCAGGCATGTACTGGTCATCGGGACTACTATCGGGACATTCCCGCATTCGGCCCAGATCTGGTAGCCTACGGAATCCACATGATGACCCCGATGTGGTCAGCACTATTGCTGTCTGGGTCGTAATACATTACATTTTAGACTCCTAATTTTTGACAGCTACGACTTTGTACCACATGACCACTGCAGATTTATTTTGAGCAAAACAAACATTTAAGTCCGAATCCGAGGACATGAACAGCTCCAAGTACAGCGTCACGTGTTGTCATCTCTTATTTATGGCAATTATAACCTGGTTTGAACCCAGCATAAACCTTAATTTAATCTGCATTAAATTGAACTTTTTATGAAGTACAGATCAGATCATGTGACTGATTATTTAATGTTCTGGGAACACAGTAACAATAACTTCAACAAATATTTAATTAATAATTATAATTTACCTCACTACTGGGCCTACCAGGGCTGGACTGGGACAAAAAATCGGCCCAGGCATTTTGGCCCAGACTGGCCCACTACATGTGATCATAAACATCACCCATCTTTGCATGCCCTTATTATGTATACCAGCAACTCCTGTTCCTTAAAACCACTAATGCCATGTAATGAGTGAGTAGGAACGAGTGAGAGTTAACAGATGAAATAAGAACAAAATGGTCATTTATTAATACAACAGAACTATACTCCAAAAAAAAAACAAGCTATAAGCTGCATTGCCATAGCAATACCAGTGTTTCTCACAGGATTTTTGGTAAATCTGTGGTCATGTGGATTCCGAACCAGATCTGGGCCGACATGTTGCTGTCTGGGGAGTTCTACGATCACGTGAATGCTTTTTACAAGTCAGAAGAGTTACGGTATTACGACATGGCATGAATATCCTACATAATTAATAGGCCTATATATTTGAAAAAAGTTGCTAAAAACTTCTTTATTTGGACATCAGATTCAGAAAAGAATCCTCTTCAAAAACATTTGGCTGTACAGGGCTGAGTTGGCATTATGGTTCTTTGGAGATTATGCTGCATTCACGCCATGTCGTAATTATCGTAAAAAAAAAGAAGCTCCATCTGCTCCCCAATTTAATAATACACCGATCTGTCGGCACAGCGCCACTTCAAGTCGAACACACCTTTTGCAGTGGTCACGTGGTACAGCGGCTGCATGGTACAAGTCAGCTTTTTACCTTTAAAAACATTCTTGCTTTCACATTATTGGTTCTTCAGGTTAGTAGCATATTTCTGGGGTCTTTAAAGCAAGATGGTTTTCTAAACAACTAGAGAATAAAAAGTTTGTGTAAATGGTTATCTAATATCCACCAGACTGTAAAACCTTTTTGGTTCTGATCGGAACCTTTAGAGTGAATGAATAATAGGCTAACATCCCTGCATATAATAAACTATTTCAGCTCAAATGCTGTTAGAAATGTAGATCAATTGATTTAAGTCGGAAACAGGACTTACGTCGCGGTTTCTGCTCCTTTTGCTCCATCAGGACAGAGTGATGTGAGGAGAGAATGACATGCAAGTTGAGTTCATTACTGAACACAGAGCTCCATTCATGCCTTTTAATTGTCCCAACAAAAGTGGTGTCTATTCTCATAACTCTTGTATTGCCAGTAGGGGCCTCAAATTGTTATCACACTCCTTTGTTTGTCCAGCTCTTATTTTACTGTATCAAAGAGTACCTTACTTGAAACATGTTCAAACACATCTGTTTGGTTGATTTTTTTATTTTATTTAATAATTTAGTTTTTTCTGAGAAATAAGATTATGACAGGCCATGTCATTTTTTTTGTTGGCCACTAGGTGGTGCTAGTGACCATATTTCATATTCCCCTGCATCACTATTGGGCAATGAGTTGTTGTCATGGTGACGGGTCGAGAAAAGCTGCAGTTGGAGGTCGTCATGGAGACTGGGTTAGGGGAAGGCAGAGCTGATTAGAGGTTGTCATGGTGACTGGGTCAGGGTGAAAATAAAGATGAGAGATTGCCATGGATACCGAGTCAGGAAGAGTTGCTGCACTGGCATCTTTTTATAGTATCATACATATATATATATATATGATATGTGTAAATATGTGATTAATCGCATCTAACATAAGTTTGTAAAAATATAGCTTTGATAGCACTTATATATATATATATATATATATATATATATACAGTATATTATATATATAAAAGATTTGACAGCACCAATGTATGTATTTATATATACCTGTATATATATATATTAAAGGAAAATGAGATAGGCTAAAAAAGGGAAATAAATAGTAATATATATATATATATATATATAATCTTTAACTTTTGCAAAGTAGCAGAACAATTTGTAAAAGCTTTTTGACATAGTGTTTGTCTAAAGAAAAAATATATAAAATGTTAAGTACAATATCCAATATACAATATGAGACATATTACACAAATATATGTACAAATATCCATATCCTTTTATTGCAAATACTAGGATACAAAAACTCAAATGTATTAAATATATTCACATATTCTTTCTGCATTTTCAACCGCCTGAATATGGCATCTAATACATCTTTTAGTGCATAAATATGTACCTTAATTATTATATATAAGCAACCTGAGACCAAAAACTACAAAATATACGTTTTAAATTTTACATAATGTAAAGCCCATCATATTTGATTATATTTGGTAGTCTTTCAAGCCAGTTCTCATCTTGATATTATGTTAATATAAACTAGTGGTATTTCTGATTTTGACAGATGGGCCAATCTCAGGCAGACTGCAATAAAACTTGAAGTCATCAGGAAGAGAGTTGGGTTTTCATTCCCACGTGATGCTGAGGATCTTACAGCTGAGTTCCCAGAGGCGCTGGGCCGTCTCATCATCCATGGCAGCCCGGGAGCATTTAGCAGGTGCACAGTCACTGCGTGGAGAGCAGAAAACAGCTGAGAATGTGCTACCATTGTCTAACAGCAGTGCTTCATTTGCAAATGAATAATTGCAGGATGAAAAACAGCAATTAAAAGGTGCTATGACCGACTCTGACCATACAACTTGAGTTTTCCCCGAAAATACAATAACTAAACGGTGATGGCACAATAAAAGCATCATTCACAAGTTTCTGCATGGCCCTAACAACAGCCTAGTGTATTATTATGTGTATAAATATCATTCAGTTGATCAGTGATATTTTCTCTTGCTTCTTCCATTACATCGAACTCTCGTTGCTTGTGTCTCCCGCTATCCAGGTGTGCAGTTCCATCTACTCTGGATCAGAAACACCATCAGCTTTACTCACGGATATGAAAAATTAAAATATAATTGACTGTCTTTTCTTTTTTTACATTTTGGCGATAGTAAAAATTTTTTTAGGAATAATTCATCAGGTACATACACTCTCTCTAAACGTTCAGCTACTCACTGCGCAAAACAATAAGCACCGACCAATGAGAGTGATTTTGAACTAAAGAAATCTGATTGGTCAAAAATATGTTGAGGGCCAATAGCGATACATGACCTCCAAATACATCTGCATAAACTTGCGCTCGCTCTGTGTCGCTCTGTGCACTGTCACCATGTTATGCACTTGTTAATAATGCCGGATCGTTTAAAACCAAATCCAAAATCGGACATTTTCCAGAACAGGATCCAGCTCAAATTAAGCACTGTCTAATCGACTATTTAAAACATGACATGAACTGTGGCTGTTAGTTTTATGAAACATCATGACATCAGAGTTAAAAGATTATCAGCAGTAACTGAATGCTGTATGATAATGATATTTAACTGAAAGATAACAGAACATGACCTATTGGACTTGTGTGTATTCACGCTGTACTATAGGTAGATGAAATTGCATGGTAAGCTCTACTGCGATTTCAGTAAAACTTACTCTTTTCTGAGGCAAAATGCTGAGATTGAGATGAAATTCCACTGACCTGTAATATTTGCCGCTCTCTGTCTCCAGTTCAGGGGCCACGGCGCAGTAGATGGTGGTCTGAGCTCCCTGCACAGATGTTTTGGTGAAGGGCTTTGCCAACCACATGGCGGCTTGCTGAGCTTTATTCAAGTGCCTCCACAGTTCAGTCTGAACCACACCAGGATGGAGAGCATACGCCGTTAATCCAGTACCTGAGACGCCACACAAGACCAGAGGAGAAAGCATCAAACATCATCTTATTGGACTAGAATAATGTAAAGTACAAATGCACAACCCACGACAGCGTCAGATATTATCCAGTGTCGGGGCAAAAATGGCACAGAAATGAATTTAAAATGTGTTTTTATTTTATATTATATTCTTTTTTATTATATTATATTATTTAAAATTATATTTTATAATCTATTTTAATTCTATGAAGCTGGTTTAGGCATTTTAGTGATATTTAAATAATTTATTAAAAAGTTAATTGACTGAAAAAATGAAAGATTATTTAGACACTAAAGAATAATAGAATAATAAACAAATAAATAAAATAATACATTTTAAAATAATAAAATATATACAAATTAAAAACATAGTGCTTAAACATTTATATATAAAAAATGTATAAAAAAAATTCGGCTTTTTTTTTTTATGAGACAGACCTTCTAGTCTTTTGGCCAACGAGCGAGTGAACAGAATGTTTGCCAGCTTGCTCTGGCTGTAGGCTTTGTTTTTATCATAGTTCTTCTCACTGTTGATGTCCTCCAGGTTGATGGTCCCCCATTGGTGTGCCATTGACGAGATATTAATAATCCTTGCTGGCGTTGATCTTTTAATTAAATCCAATAACAGGTATGTCAACAGGAAGTGACCTACAGGAAGAAGGACAGCTCTGATGTCTCCCTTAATTTCTTTTAAGGTTAAAAAAGGTGACCGATTTGGACAAATTAGATACGCTTACCCATGTGGTTCACCCCTATTTGCATTTCGAAACCATCTGCTGTCTTTCCGTAAGGACAAACCATCACACCAGCGTTATTGATTAAGATGTTGACTTGTTTCTCCTCTGAAAGACAATTCCAGATCCATCAGTGTAGTGCTATATGAGGAAGACATTTATAGAGGAATTTTATAACTCACCTTTATTGATTTTTTCTGCAAATTCTCTGATTGATTTGGAATCTGCCAGGTCAAGTCTGTTGGTAACAACATCCTGGCTTCCTGAAGCATCCTTAACTTCCTTCAGGGCTGCATCTGCTTTCTCCAGATCTCGGCATGCCATAATGATCCGTGCTCCTAAAGACATGACAGCAGAAAGACAAACATTTTCCATATGACAATATATTAATACTAAACTTTATAGGAATAGGATTGCATACCTCTCTTTGCCAGGTCAATGGCTGTCTCTTTGCCAATTCCAGTATTAGCTCCAGTTATTATAACAGTTTTACCGTCAAGTCTGGCATCAGATGACCACGGCCGAAACATATTTCTGAGGGGAAAAGTAAAGGATAAAGGTAATTATATTTCATATTACTCAACTTGGTTTCTATGGGCGTTGATTTGAAATCATAGAACTAAGTTAGTTTCGCGTGCTCAATTCATAAATAATAAAACATGTGAAGTCGTTTTTGCCTAGTCAAGTCCGGTCAGTTCTGTATTCAAATCTTTTTTTACAGTCTGATTCAAACTATCAGAAATATTTCATCATATGAATGAAAATCCCTTTGCTTTACTTCCTCGACACAATGTTGTGCAACATGTCACTATCAACATCTACTCTAGCTATTAAATATAATATATACAGTTCTGTTCATACCTTAGTGCTTGCATTTTACGATGATTTGTATCCAGAAACAAAAAAATAAAGTTTATAAAAACAAGTTAGTGCGATTACGCAGAAATTAACTGAGTAGCTTAGATCAAAACACATTCGCACTGTCGCTAGTGGGAGGAGTCAGGTGACGTACAAGGAAGAATCGTGGAGTTGTAGTTTGGGATTGGTCCCTATGGATTGGTCAGAGACAGTAAACCCCACCCTTTATTACGTATTTTAATTTTTTATTCTATTTAAACATTAATTCTTGAAGTCAAAAATATTCTTGACTTTTATATTTATTATATGTCAACTTAAATGCTACCAGTAGTAACTGGAAAACGGAGAAAACGGGCATATTTTACATTTTAAAATGACTAGACGACGTGATTCTTAATTCAACCAGGAGATGTCAGTAGAGGAATGGTAAAGAAATAAGCAGGCGTCTGAATATTTACTTTGTATACAATGGACTAATTGAGATATTTGGCATATTTCTAATTTAATAAAAAAATATTTATATTATATACGTATCAGCAATATCATGTTCTCTTAATCTCCATTCCATTTTCACCATTTTTAATAACCTTTTAGCATTTTAAGATCACCTAGGTGATCTAAAAATGCTAAAAGGTTATTAAAAATGGTGAAAATGGATGTGCTGTGAAAAATGCATCTTCAGAAAGCTCAAAGCAGCTTCAGTTTGCTTCTGGTAAAAGTCCTTGTCATGCCCCAGTTCATTTCAGTAATTTATAACTTCGCTGAAACTGTCAGAAGGTTGCCATCCTCCAGCATCACATATTTTTTAGCTTCAACGCTTAAACACTGTCTGTCACTCTTTCTCTGTGATGTTTCTCAGAAACTGCAGTATTGCTCTCAAACACACTGTGCTGCTCTAAGACACATTGGATGAAAAGAATATTATGTCTAAAAAAGGACCAAAAGCAAAGTTTCTCGGATAGCAGGGATGCCCTTAGTAATTCAGCATCTGTGTGTATGCAGAGAAATCAATGCATTTAACACACACACACACACACACACACACACACACACACACACACACACACACACACACACACACACACACACACACATATATATTGCACCAGAGGGGCAGTATTACCATTTTCAATTTCTCTGTTTATTGATCTTCATGGCGAGATTTATTAGTGAATTACTATTCAGTAGTTAAGGAGCATCACGCACACATATACAGCCCAATTGTGTGCTTGTGCACTGTGAATGTTTATGACACCTTACATTTAAACACTCAACACCTTTCAAAGCACACAGGCATCTGAAACAGGAAGTGTGTTGTCAGCCATCAGATGATAGTGTGTAAGTAAACATTTCCTTCACCCGTTAAAAAACAGGACAGTCACAGAGAGAGCTATAGTTAAATTACCTCTGATTAACAGTCATCTCACGGATGACACATTGAAGGGTTAGTCCACCAAACAAGCCTGAAGCGCAATACATTCTGCAGCACTTCTCGTTTTTTGATTTACCAGTGATGTTTACAAGCTAGATATTAGAAAACACGCAAATCGGACATAAAAATAATTCTTTTTTTATTTAAATAATTAAGCCTTTCATACACCTTCACTTCTGAGAATGCTATGTAAATATGACTCGCTTAACAAGTTTAATTGAGTGTAACTGATCTTGAATGACTGACGAGTCTCATTAAAAAGAAGCTTATGTTCCTAAACTAACTATCTGAAATATTTACTTGGCCCTTCCTTATTATACGAAATGAGAAACACCTAGGGGTGTAACGATACACGTAATCGTATTGAACCGTTCGGTAGGCTTTCGGTTCAGTTTTCGGTACGCATTTTTGAACCGAACGGTTCGTTGGGCCATTTTTCCTGCCGACCAAAATGTCGCTATTTCAAAATAGGCGCGTCACGCGTGGCAAGCGCGCTCATAATGTAATGAGACGCTGGCGTGACCAGAACATTACCCAACCTTAAATGGCAAATGTAATGTAAGCGGAACGAAACCACTCGTTATTGTGTTGTTGACGGACCGTTTATCAGTTTGGACCAATGCAGCGCGAGCCGATCTTAATCATCAGCACTGTTAGCGATATTTTTTTTCACAGGATGGTAGGGGAAGACTCATGAATATTCATTAGGGAACTCATCCCTGATTGGTCTGATGACCTACCCCTAACCCCGCCCCTAAACCTACCCGTCACTGGGGGTCTGATGACTTACCCCTAACCCCGCCCCTAAACCTACCCGTCACTGGGGTTAAGACCAATCAGGGATGAGTTCCCTAATGAATATTCATGAGTCTTCCCCTACCATCCTGTGAAAAAAAATATCGCGCACTAGTACTGTTACTACACAGCGAAATCCGGTAAAGAAAGCATTTGAATTCGCCACTGAAACATCGCTGCGAGATCTAGTGAGAAACATTCGCATTTCTCCGTTATTGACGGATCAAACAGCGCTGACGTGGAAACCAGGAAGAAACATTGTGCCATGAATGAACTATCCAGTGTCCACAGATCAGCAACATTCACCATGGTTCTCTTACGAGAGGTTCTCTCGTATTGCGTAAGTTTAGCTTACGCTACGGGAAAGATTCATCTTCTCGAGATATTGAAGCCAAAAAATGATCCTTAATTTTGTATTCATTGTCAACGCAGTGCAGCAGCTAGCAGACCTAGAGCAGGCAGTCTTGCGTGCTCATTGGCTGCCATGCGGGCATCTGCTGCAGCCTACCAGTGAGCCCCCTCGAGCTCTCTGCATGACCCGGACGGGCTTGCGCGCCGCCGTCGAAATGTCTCGCCCTGTCAGTCCCCATACATAAGGCTACTGCAGCGGTGTATTTGGCAGCCAACGTGATACCCCCCGTGTCTCCCGCAGAGCCCACTCTCTTAAAGCTGGCAAATGCCGCTCGAGTGCTAGATGTAGGAAACGTGCCCACAACTCTGTGCTCACGCCTATTTTTCTGCCCGCTCTGTCACACGGCCAGAACAGCCTAATACATGTCAGGTTAAGAATGTAAGTTACGTGCCCGCTCACGAGCGCTCACGCTTACTAACAGACACATCGCCTCCCAAAAAAAAAAAAAAAAAAAAAGCGCGTGTCCCGCTGCGGCTGGACCGCCGTCAAAGTTTGTTTCCCTGTCAGTCCCCTTCAAACAGGCTACTCCAGTGGTTCATTTAGCAGCCAACGAGCCGGTTTGTTCACCCTCTCGCCTGCACACAAACCCCGTTTTCACGGTGACCCAGAGAAATCTCAAAAAGAGTATAATGTCTGATCCAGCTCACGCCGTTGGTGTTTTAAGTGTAGTGAAAGTGCCCACGCCCCAGTGTTCACCCCTACACACAAGCAAATCAAATCTTGTGTCACTCACAGAGCACACTCCCATAAAGCGCAGAAAAGCCGCTTGAGTGTTGAATATAAGAAATGTGTCCACAGGTCTGTGCCCACTATCTGCCCGCTCTGTTACACGCTCAATAAAACAGGTTATGAATGTAAGTCTTGTGCCCGCCGGAGAGCGTTCACGCTTACTACTAACACACACCTCCCCCTGGGCGCCGCCCGCGCATTTAAATGTTATCACAAAACGCAGGGCATTAATAAGACGCTCCCCATCCGTTATGATCGGGGCGTCAAATACACTTGTAAGTTTCGTGCCCGCGCTCACGCTTACAGAAAGCTTTTCCGCCCAAAGCGCTGCTCGCGCGTCAAAAAAAAGTGAGAATAAAATGCTCCCCATCCCTTATGACTGGGACACTTCATATAAATCAGATATAAATAAGACGGTATCGGCTTTTTTTAGCGAGCAGCCATTGCCCAGAACCGAGAGCATAGCTGCGTGGGAAACTATCCCAGGGATTTTCAGAATGGGTTCTGAGCACAATAAAGCAGGGCTATACACTTCAATTCATTCGCCGTCCCCCGCGCTTTCGAGCCCGGACCGCGACGATAGTGAATGCGGAAGTAGCACACCTACTTCACGCAGAAATAGCAAAACTGCTGTGCAAAGGGGCTATAGAAAAAGTACCGCCTTCTCTGAGCGAGTCAGGCTTTTACAGCCGATATTTTCTCGTACCCAAGAAGGACGGAGCTTTCAGACCTATCCTAGATCTGAGACATTGAACAAGGCGCTTGCAAAAAGACCGTTCAAAATGCTTATGACCAGAAAAATCCTCTCGCACGTTCGCCCGTGGGACTGGTTTATTTCTCTAGATCTGAAGGATGCCTATTTTCAGATTCAGATATTACCACGTCACAGGCAATTTTTGAGATTCGCCTTCGACGGTCAGGTATATCAATACACCGTCCTGCCGTTCGGCCTGTCTCTAGCACCCCGTACATTTACGAAGTGCATGGACGCGGCGCTTGCCCCCCTGAGAACTCAAGGGCTGCGAATAATGAACTATCTGGACGATTGGCTGATATTGGCACAGTCAGAGACGAAACTTTTATCTCACAGAACAGTGCTTCTCAGTCACCTGGAAAGCTTGGGTCTCACGGTCAACTGGACCAAGAGCTCATTAATACCCAGTCAGTCAATTCCCTTTTTAGGAATAGAACTGAATTCTGTGGCCCTGAAGGCTCGTTTGTCGACACAGCGCGCGGGCCGTGTTCGCTGCCTAGCCGCGTCTTTCCAGAAGGGCAGCTTTCTCCCTTTGAAAACGTTTCAAAGGATGCTGGGCTGTATGGCTTCAGCACCAGCGGTGCTCCAGCTGGGCCTACTGCGCATGCGCCCGCTCCAACGCCGGTTGAATGCTCGCGCGTCTCGCCGAGCTTGGGTTTCTCAGACCTGCATAGCGGCTCTGCAGCCCTGGTTAGTAGCCGACTGGTACCAGGCGGGAGTGATGATGGGAACCATCTCTTATCGGAATGTCATTTCGACAGACGCGTCCAACTTGGGTTGGGGCGCGCTGTTCGAAGGCAGACCGGCCTTTGGCCAGTGGTCAGACCAAGAGAAGTGTTTTCGCATAAACTGTCTGGAAATGATAGCGGTCGAGAACGCGCTGAAGCGCTTCCTCCCGTTCATACAGGACCAACATGTTCTCGTCCGCTCGGACAACATGTCTGTGGTTTCCTATGTAAACCGTCAGGGCGTTGTCAGATCCAGAAAC